ATCAAAATTATATCATCGTTTAGAACACTATAATGTAAATTTAAGAAACATCTCATTCTTCAGTAGATATGGAAATAATATAATTTTAAATGTAAGATCGTTCTTAAATTAATATTATTTTGTCAAACATGTTTTCATAGTATTCTGGTGGTCTCTTTAAAAATGTTTAAATATAATCAGAAATTATAATAATATTTTTAACAAACGTTTATATTATATTCAGAAGAAATTACAAATAACAATAACATTAAAAAATTAAAATTGTATACATAAATTGTGTTTTAAATTAGATGACTAACGCTGTATTATAATTTTATTCTTCATACTGTTTGTAGAAAACTAAGATATCTTTATGACTAATAAGTACACTACTAAATGGTTTCAATAATGCTGTAATATATTTTAAGAAGTTCATAATAAACTAATTTTATTTTATTATGACATGTTCAAACAATACAACGACTTGTTAAATAAATCCGTACATGCATGTTTATATTTTGTTCATATATTTTATTGCTCTATTAAAAAACATTTTAGTTAATTTCATTTTTTTTTCTTAGTTTATAATTATACGTTGTATCCACCATATTGTACAATACAATTATATTTGTCATGGATATTTCATTAAAATCAATGATCAAAGCTACATACTTTGTACAACATTATCTTAACTTTTTTAAATTTTATTCAAACAAAATTTGCATAGTAAAATATATTTAAATGTTATCAAATTATTTTGATTCATCTACACTCTATAGAAGATTAAATTTAAGTTTATGTTAGTTTAAAAGAATTTTTTCGTGGTTGTTTTCTAAAAAAAAAAATCAATCACTTTGAATCGATTCATGTTTATAATATTTTATTCAACGTGTGTACAATGTATATTCTTTGTTAGATAAATTCTTACAATATTTCTACGTTTATTAAATTTTCTCGATTCAAAAAAATTTAATAAATTAAGTATAATACATAAAATGTAATAAATATGCATATTTTAATATTTAGTAGAAAACATAAGCAACGTTTGGTGAAATTTAAAAAATGCTCTATAATAATTATATTTCAATTAAATAAAGCTTTAACTTCTATGTTTAATTCAATGAAAAAGCATTTAGTGTTGAGTGATTTTTTTTTTTTTACAACTATAGAGAGAAATCCTTTTATAAAACCTCCGCAATATGTAATGCTTGACTTAACTGCTTTCCCAAAGCTATTTCGTAATAGTAATTTCAATGCTTTGGCTTTTTTTATCTTTCTGCCCGAAAACTAAATGACCAATAATAAGATTAATGTATGTAAATTTATATATTGTTTTCATATTTTAGACAACCACCCTAATTAATCTTTTACCTTAAATATATTATGAATAATATTATATTATAACCAGCAATTTATACACGAAAAAAAATCAAGTTTTAGATTACATACAGAACACTTTTACAATTAAATTTATATAAATTATAGATTCAGAACAAAACAAGCAATTTATTGGATCTACGATGTTAATATTTTTAACTTTGCTGTTTGAGTAATTTTAATATTAAAAATTTAATGAACAAATTGAAATAATTCCCTATAAAAAATACTGATACTTGAATTTCGTTTAAAACATAGCTTTTTAAGAAATTTACTTAACTTATTAAATGATTTACTTAAATTATATTTTAAATATTAACTACTGTGACATTTTGTAGTATAAAAAAATAATTAATTTAAAAATAAAGCGAAAAGAATTAAAATGTTAAATGGATTATATAAATTATAATAATAGTTATTAAGTTAAAATATTAGTAAATTGTAAATTAGTTGGTTGGTTAAGACAGTAGTAGAAATAATATTTTTTACAATTTAATCACAAAACGAATTTTTAATAGTAAGTATATAATGTGATCATAATATTTGGAAAATTTATCCAGATAAAATAATATATTTAAATATATTTTATTTAATAAAAACTTAACAATATCAATTATAATTGAATAATTATTTTATTTCAAAATATATTCTATTGTAAGTTGAATGTCAAGGTTATTTAAATACAATATATTTCGTAAATATTTGAAAATTAAATATTTTTCCTAGTAAATTGATTTTTATACATAAAGTATTATTTTTTGATTCAGTTATTCTAAAGTCAAACATTTATTTCTATGAAATATTTGAAATTGAATAATATTACACATCATGTCAAAAAATGCAATAAAAACTATTTTCAGGCAATTGGTACACTAATAATTCATTCATAACTTGTACATCACTATTATTCAGAATCTGTAGACATTTAATGATTTACGACTAACATTATCGTCATTTGTCTTTCTAATAGAAATTCACCAAATAATTCACACACATGTGAATTTATGTATTGTATATTTTGAGTGAAAAAACATTTATTCCGAGACAAATTTTATAGATTATGCATGTTATACAGAATAACTAATTTCTTTGAACTATATCATATGACGTTAATAACCTTATATTGCCAAGTTAAGAAATCAATATTTTTTCTAGAAATAGTATTATATAGTAGTATTTTGTAGGTATTTTGTTTCAAAAAAAACTATTGTAACGAATACTATTTTTCTAAAAAAATACAGTTATTTATGAATTTACTGCAATAACCCGCAGTACATCTGAAATAAATGGGACAAAAAAAAAAAAAATGATATTAATGAACTGTGAAATTACAAAGTGAAACTAAAAATTGAACTAAATAACTAAATAACTAAACAAAATAACACGGTATTCTCGTTAAATTGACTTTTAGGGAATTTTATTTTATACTCTATCAAAATAAGTTACAGAAGCATAAAATAATATAGTTTTAATATTTATTGGAAATATTGTTTTTAATTTCAAAATAGGAATTAATTATACTTATAAAATAAGAAATATATTATTTATATTTTGAAACATTTTTCATAATAAATTCAGTTATTTTATTAGTAACAAATGTAAAATTTGTTTTATTTTATTGTTAAATAAATTTAAAATAATATTTTATAGATCTACAGTACCTTTTTTAGAACACAAAAGGCAAAAACATCAACATTGCTGAAGTGACCATTTCGTATTAAAAATAATCCCTGGGGTCAATCATCTGCATCACTTGAGAAAATGTAAGGAATGTTTCACAAAACAGTTTTGTACATGATTTTTCTAGGAAAATATTATTCATTCAAAAAAAAAAAAAAACCAAAGTGACAGCCAATAGATCTATAAATTTGATATTAAAACACCAAACGTGTATATAACACCATTGATACCTTTTATAAAGCTCTACGTTCCAGATTTAGATTGATAGCTTTGAGAAGACCTTTTTCAAATTAAATTATGTTTTCCTAAAAGTCAGTTTAAAAATTCGTATATAACTATATCATTGTGTCGTTAACAAATATATAAAACATATTCTGTTTGATGTATTATGAATCAACAAATAAATAAAACATATTAAGATAAATAATAATAGGTAATAACTTGCATATTAAATTAAAAAAAAAAAAAAAAAAATGTTTAAGTTTTTGAGTGTGAACTACTAAAAACACGATTTGTTTTATTTTATAGTATAATAGTAATTTATTAAACTTATTTTCAAATATTAAAGTGACTAAAGAAATAACAATTAAAAATACATTTTTTCAATTTTACAGCAAGTTATTTATATTTATTTCCCAATAAAATCTTTCGTTTTAAATTATTTTAAATTAATTTTTAGATTATAAATACAAAATATGAATTAATTATTTTTCTTTGATTAATTTTATGTACATAGATAAATGATATTATAAAAATACATGTTTTTCATACTTCAATCGAGTATGCATTTAATAATTTAAACACTTTAACAATACATTATAACTGTTTGTTATACTAAAACTAATTATAAATATTAATTACCCTGAACAAATAAAGTAAATTTTGTTCTTTATTGATATTTTTTTAAATAATTAAAATTTGATATTTTATTATAATTTTCTGAAGGTGCTTAAAGAAAAAAAAAATTATTTTTAACGAACAATAGCTATATTTGTTTTAAACTGTATTTAAATTAATGATAAAACCAAAATATATAGAAAACATGTATAAAAACATAATGTAAAATTTATACTTAGGAAAATGATAACTACCACATTTAAATATAGTAAAATAATTTTATATGATTATAAAATATATTTTCTAAAAAAGTATTTTCGTGTAACATGGAAAATATTATCATAGCACAACTATAATATACAAAATTAAAAAGTTGTAAAATTCAAATAACTGCCCTGTTCTTTAGAAAAGACTAATTATATAATTATATTTCGAAAATTGTGAAGCGTAAAACACATAAACAATAAACTATAGACATCGAAAGACGGATTCTTATTAACGAAATGCGTTTGTTCTATTAATGTATATAGGTAATACAATTCTGCTATTGCTGTACCTCCTTTAAGATTGCGTAGACCACATTCAATTTTATTTTTTATTCTCGTCTCATTTGGTAAATTTTTGAGCCAATTATAAAATAACCGTTTAAAAATACAATGCGACGTTACGCACATAAACATAGCAACTTATCCTTGTACAGTAAAAAGGTGCTTTGCGCGTAATTCGACGGCTTTAAACCGTTATAACTCGCTTTTTACCCGAGACGCGCGTGAAAATATTAAATTTTTTCGACATCAATCATCGGTAGCAATATAATATTGACATGCATATTATATTGTACAGTATATCAAACATAACATATAACATTTCAGTCGTATTGTTACATATATATTATATCAATCATTAATATGTACAGGTAAATTATAATGTACCTAATAGGTATGTATTATAATTATTATGCTATAAATGTAGGTATATCAATATAGGTACGGGTAAATACAATGGAACGTGTGTTATTATTATTTTGGGGTTTTTTTTTTTTTTCGTTTTTGAAAATTGGTGCGCGGCGCGCGTAAGACGGTACGGACGATGACGATTTGGCGGCGGTGGCGGGAAATAGACGTTACCTGTACGCGTTTCCGGCGAGGGTGGTGGCGGTGGCAGTGATAACTGTTGCGCTGAGCTTGTTCTGGCTGACGCTTCTTCCGCCGTCGGTCGTCGTTCGTTACTGTCGCTGGTACAGTCGCCGCCGGTGTCCGGAAACGCGGTTGACGCTGCTGCTTGGTGCGCTGCGGTGATCCGGTGTCGTAACGTCGCGCGCGCGCCCGCGTATACATTTACGGTTCCGGCTGCGCGCGCGCGCAGTGTGTGCGTTCGTATATGTGCGTACAACCGTACATGTGTCTAAGTGTGAGTGTGTATGTGTGTGTGTGTGTGTGTGTGTGTGTGTGTGCGCGCGCGCCAAAGTCGCCGCCCAAGTAACCGTCAAGCACCGGGCAAAAGTATCGGGGGGGTCTCGCGGACGCGCCACCCCACCTGTCCGCTGTATAAATGCCTACACCCCTCGACAGACCCACGTCCTTCCCCAACATCAAAAGCGAGCTCTCGAGCCAACCTTCCCCTACCCCCCAGGTAGCACAACTGATTTACGTATTGCTTATCCCACTTTCCTTAACGCATTAGACTTTAATTAGTCTCTGCCTATAAGTATTGAATATTTAATTAGTAATATCAATCTTAGAATTCTAGAATATAGATTTATAATTTATAGGTTAGCTTAAACTTAAGAAAACATATAATAAATTGAAATGCCTAAAATAATTTATTTTTGCTTATTAGTGATTATGTTTTGTTTTGAAATGTAATTATTCAGACGACTATATTTAGTTTGAAAAATTTAATTTAACTAAACCCTGTACGTTAAAAGAAAAGTATTAGACATGAGATTTATTGATCATTTACTTAAAAATAGATGCTACAATTACTATTGGTCTATTAAATATAGAATCATCGTATACCAAAGATGCAGTAAACATAGCAGTGTAGCATACGTACCACAAACCAAAGCATTAAAATATGAGATTCAAATGTGGAATGTTAACTTCGTTTTTTAAATATTTCGAGGGTTTCAATAAAATATTTTCGAAATAAATTTAACTTTCTCGTTTTTTGTTTATGTGACATAGCTGAATAATAATATGTATAGTAGTACTTACGCATGACTTAAATTGGTGGTGCAGGTGCGCCACCGAGAGATCAGAGAATGGTGATTGATCCCGAGGGCTCAGACACCTGAAACTCAAAGTCCGTCATCGCGGGGTGCAGCAGACACAAAACCAAAGGAATAGGGGAGAGTGAAGGGAAAACAAAATTGAGTTATATCATCACGCGCCGGGTTGCTCATCAATGTTGCTCGGCCCCCGGACGACAATATGATAATAATAATGTAATGGGTTAACAGGTCTTATTCGTCAGTCCAGCCAAGTAATACAGGTGCAAACTATTATAGACAAAATAAAAATGATACCTACGTCTAATGATGCGGCAGCGAGCTGCGGTGGGAGTTTTAATTTCGGTCGGCACCAGATGTCGCCCGGTCAAGTCAGTACACGAAACCGTATATTTTTGCGGTGGGGGTGA